GGTACGAGTTTTAGATGCAGGTTGGTGAAGTGAATGTTCTAAAGTGGGTTCCGTTATGTACCAAATTATGAATGCTGTGTGAAGTACCTTGCATGCGCGCTTCATTCAAGGTGTACGTCACAGCTATTGTTTGCGACGTTGTCGGTGAATTTGATCAGTCAACGTTGCAACACCAACTTGAATTTAGCGTTATTTAGTAGCGAAGCGCCAGAATTTAGCGTAAAGCGTTGCCGGCCTCCCGGAATTTAACGTAAAGCGTTGCGAGCCTCCATAAATTTAGCGTAAAGCGTAATGAGGACCCCCCATGCAGACCCTCATGTATGACAAGTGCAGCAACAATTTCTTGTAGTTTTCTGTTCTTTGTTAGCCTCCTGGGGGAGGGGGGGGGGGGCTCCAAAACACTAGTATAGCGAGGGAAAACTGTACACCAAAGTATAAAAAGAATACATTCACAACTGCTTTAATAAAGCGATCTCTACGACTGGACAAGAAAGAAAACATGTGCCCCCTTCCAGCCTTTGTCATATCAGTTCATGCATACACCCGTTGATGGTATTAACGGACCTCCCGAGCGCACAGGCCGCATACCGCTTTCACGTGCACGCGCTTACTCACAGCTTTACGAGCGGAAACCAGCAGTATTTGTGTCGGCAGGCCCGAGTTCTACCATTTTCTTCAGCACTGACGTTAGTCAACAAAGAAGGATACTACTAGCTATCTGCCGAACCAGGTAGGCTATTTCTGTATCCTTGACTTATCTAGGAATTTCGTACGTTTTCCATCTCCACGTGGTTGGAGTAGCCTCCTTCGCAGACATGTGGGGGATGATCGGGGAGCGACGCGACTTATGCCGCCGAGGGACGGTTTTGCTACCGGCGGAGTTTGTCGGGGAGAAATGAAAACCGCGGCGGCAAAACCGTCCCTCCGATCCGCGGCATAACTCGCGTCGATCCCCGAAAAAAAATTAACGCCGTCGCCCCACAAGTCTGCGAGGGAGGCTATTGTTATTGTCTTAATAAATTCTAAGTACCAACATGTTTGCTGCCTATGTCTTGTTCTATCTGTATTTTTAATGAAACTTAGTGAGTTGTCTTTCTGGCTGGGCAGTGAGAAACCATGATATATATATTGGAAAAGCCTAGTTACAGTTTTTAAACGTCCAAAGATTTGCGGTTTTACGGTGTCTTACTAATTTCCGGGCACTCCGTACTGTGCGTACACAGAGTGATGGAAATTTCCACTACGCAAGTTTGACAAGGACTCGGTTTGAAATTCAACCGTTTTGCTCTCATTTCTAAGTGTAATTTTTAAGCTCGTTGTTTAGACATAGGATTTCTTTGCTTTAATTAGATTTACAACCTCCAATGTTGCTGGTAGGTTTATAAGAATACAGAGTCTTTGTTCATAGCTTTTTGAGGCACATGCTTTACTTTAGAAGTATCGCAATTTCCAGCAAGGGTTTTAGAATAGGCCAAGGAGCTTCAATACATTCATTAGCAGTTCAACCTACGATAACGATTTGACCAATGAGAGAGTGGCAGTTAATTTAAAGTCCGTCAAATATTTGCATTTTTGTGTCTTTATTTTGCATGTTTTGTCAAGCCAAAAGTATGTATTGAGGTTTCTGGAAAGAACTGTACCATCGATCTAAAACAATACGACCACCACTCAAACCCAAAAGTTCAGACTATGGGTGGGGGCATCAACCTTTAAGGTTCACGCCCCTTAATTAGTCTTGGGGGTAAAGAGAGTGGAATTTTCCATCAGCTGATCAACCTGACATGTCACGCCATATCAACTTCCCAGTACCTCATTAACCATTTGCCATTCTTTGTTGTTGTTGTACCTTTCCTGTAGTAGCTCCGTGGGACCTTTTGATGTCCGCTAGAGAGGGTATAGATTTCACGTCTAGTAGACCCTGTCTAGTTAGTCTCTACCAGACTAACTACGCTGGCTATATATAGGAGAATATTTGCCGGGGGAGTTTGGCCGCCTTGGGGTTTGACTATGCCTTCGGAAGGAACGAAACTACCTCCCCGCGGCCTGACTCCCTTGGCCAATTTGATTCTCTTTTTTTGCCGAATTCTACGATCCGTATTCCCGTAGAAAGGCCTGGTGGAGGCTACTGTCTAGTAGAGTAAGAGTTTTGTCCAAGCAGAGGTTTGGTTTTCGGCTTATATTTTGGCGTGTTTTGGGGGCTTTTTTGTCGGCCCAGCAACGCTTAAGGTTGTGAAGAATTTGCCAATAACTAAACGCGTAACGATCAGACATGCGGATAAAAAATTACATGCTACGTACAATTAGGTCGGCAAATTGCGCTTCACCAATAATTTCCAACAACGCTCAACGTTAGAGCGGGCCGGCTACGCTTAACGGTGTATAATAAGATAGCTCGCCAGACTGCACAAGAAAAGGCTGCACCACACAGAAAAAGGCAAATATCAAAGACAAAGGTAAGTGTCAACTTGCGCCAGTCCCACTGATATAGCTGTATGTATAAGGTCGATAACATCTGTCAACCAACAGTATCAGTAACACTCGGGCTTTTGATCGTATATTGAATCTCTTGAAGTCTGCGCCATTGAAATCATGACTGTACAACACGTGTTAGCCCTTGTGATCCGGTGTTACACGATTGTAATCTCTACAAGACGCCCGGTAACTCCTCCAAGCAGATCCTACGGTGGCATAGGCAAAAAAAGGAGTGACCATTTCATTTGCAGATGTTCGGTGGCTAATGGTCACTCCTTTGGCCAATGGATTGACCTTGCCACCATATAGGATCTGCTTGAATCATGGAGGTGTGTAACCATGCAAGCCATCGGGACCTCACCGGTATCTCTACGGTGCTGGGAGCATTACCCGCGCGCCTAGGCCCATTACAACAAGCCGGGAATTTTACGAGGTTTCATTTACGCCCCTAAACCGGTCTGCTTTAATGGTTACCACACGGTACTTACCAGGCTACTTGAGGCGTGGTTAATTTAAAATTAGTCTGTCCCAAGTTTCATACGGGCATGAAGAGGGCACGTGCTATCTCTAGATGTTCTCCCTTGAATAATGTATGTTAATTTATGCCACCAGGTAACTATCTGCATAATCAGCATGCCTGTCGTCAATTACCATGGCAACATCCGTGACGTGCAGCGTCCTGGGATTTCTCTCACAGAATCACAGGACTTCTACAAGACCTGGGCCGCTAATTATGACAAGGTAGGAGCATACATTGAGTTGAGCCAGTAGGCTTATCCGGACAGAGTAGGTTGACAGCACATGGGGGAAGATTTACAGGCAAAATGAGAGATCAGACACAGGATGTGGAGTGACCTTGAATGTCGCGAAAACTGAAAGTTCTTCCCGGAACTCTAAAATTGATTTTTTTTTTTTGTTCTCATTGTTTACTCTAGGACACGACAGATTCAAACTACAACGGTCCCCGTGCCACAGCCAAACGTATGCTGGCGCTGTTTGAAGGCAAGACTGATGCACGGATCCTGGACGTGGCCGCAGGGACAGGCATGTCGGGAGAAGCGGTCAGTACTTGCTTAGTCTCTGCTGCAATTCCATAGATAACTACTGGGGGCTACCAGTCTTCCAGCATGACAAATATCATGAAATCCAGTCTGAGTTGTGCTATCCACCATTTGAACATACAAACAGAGAAATATCGCAGAAATGTGTTAATGCTTTCCTCCTTTCCCCCACAGCTTCAGAAGGTCGGGTTCCGGTCCATGGACGCCCTGGAGCCCAGTGAAGACATGCTCGTCCTGGCGAAAGAGAAAAACATCTACGGTCGTCTGATCCAAGACTTCCTGGGTACCAATCGTCTGGACATTGCGGACGGTGAGTTCGGAGACTAAGAAGATATTTGAATGCAGTAGTATTGCATGGGGGTACCACAGATTGACCTTCAGATCAAGTTGGAAGGAAATCGTTGTTTGTGCCAATAAATTCTCCAAAGTTTGAGTATTCTGATCCTTTTTCAATTTTAGGTACTTAGCGAAGCTTGCTCTTGCTTTTTGCTTCTTTATTTAGGAACTAATTTACTGATCATTGTTCTTCCAGGAGAATATGACGCTACAGTGATGGTTGGTGGGATGGTCGAGGGCCATGTGGGGTGCGACTGTCTGGAAGAGCTCATCAGGGTGACGAAACCAGGTGGGTAGGGGGCCTTTACTGACCCAAAACCATCTGTCGTTCTTTGTAAGCTCTCGCTGAATGGCCAATTTCTATTCTTTCCAGTCGCTTCAGGAGCCTGGTAGAGGCTATATAATTTCCAGGCCCTGATATATATGCATGGCTCACAAAGCGATGGCTAGTCTATAGCTACGGAGTCTGAATTTTCTGCATATGTTCTCTTGTTGCAGGAGGATTTGTGGTAATCTGTATGCGGGAGGTGAACTTGCGAAAAGTGCAGGAGTACCATAAACTTGAACCCCGCATGGCGGCGCTGCAGAATGAAGGATGCTGGGAGCAGGTGTCACGTGACGTCTTCCCCAACTACTGCGAGGGGGAAGATGGCGTCATCTTCGTGCACCGTGTGTGTTAATCAGTGAAAAAGATGGAAATATTTGATAAGTATTGCCAATAGTAGATTTGATAAACAGGGACAGTGATATTGTGAATACTCAAATTAGTTATCCAAAGTTAAGTTACGTTAAGTTAAGTTAAGTTATAAAACTGGGACCATGTAAAGTGAATAACTCTACATGTACATACAATATGTACCCTCCACAGATAACTACTTTTCATGTCTTCGATTTGATATACATGTAACGTTACTAGTATTATCGTGGCTTGAATACCTCAATGTGTGTAGGACATATCTTGTATGTACTGTAAGAAAGTGATGAAAGGGAGACATGTATTTGTGTATGTACCAAAAGCATTCCATCGTTCTTGAGCTTGTTGTTGTTTGTGGTTTAAAATGTAGCTGATATCACTATTATACAATAAATAAATAAACAGCCTTCCCAGAGTGGAGATATTTTTCACAGATTTGCGATAGCGAAACCTTTCTTGTTTTCATCGGCGCTCACGCGTACGGGCGCCGCCATGTTGAATATTGCGTCATGTATGCGCCATCTTTTTGTTACGTCCTTTACATGCACGGTTGGTCGCCATCTATTAAATCTCAAGATATAATACCCATGTCTTTATTCGGAGATAGGAAAGAGTCGAATGACGATAGCATGAAGTACAATAAGAAATGTGTAGATGAACAGAAATTCTCTGAAAGAAACTATAGTACTTTTTTATTCCAAAGAGCAACGCCACAATCCAACGTCAACAATAGTACAAATGAGGAATCTAAGCAAATATCAACAAGTAAGGTGAATTTTCAGCAGTAATTCTGACCACAAAATGACTGGCAAATGAACGCTTTTTGTTTCGTCTAATGCAGATACATTGTTGTACCTTTTCTTGAAGAAAATTGGTCTCTCGTCACTTGTCCTTTGTACACCCAATCAAATCTATCAAATCTTTAATTTTCTTTTACACTAATTATATAATTGGACGTTAAAATGACTTGCTTTTCTACTTTAGATGTTTGTCTTGAAATTTACAGCCAAATAACAACAAACAAAACGAACAAATTACACCAAAACTGGTGATACAGAGGGATATGACAAAATCTATTACATGTACAACATGAAGGATAAATTGCCACAGTATCTCACTAACGTTATAGACAAAACCCTAGCTGGAAAACCCTTTTAACTTCCTTAGTTGTATAGCTACAAGAACTCAGACACAGTGATATCAGGAATGTTCGTTTCCTCTTGGGGCGCCTCGCCAGTTGGTCCGTCAAGCTAAGAACAAAACGAACAAAATACTCTTTAAATACCGGCCTGGGGTAAGTGGGTAGTATTTGGAGGAATTCAGAAAGTGCCAAGTGTTATAGTATTCAATTGAATTACTAGTACCATCTTGTTTTTTATCTACAATGTCCTAAAAAGCATGATTGTATATGTAGATACAAATTTTATATATGCTAATTTAAATGTGGACATTTATAAATGCAAATTCATATATGCAAATTTCAAATATGCAAATTTTACATGCAAATTCATATATGCAAACTGATATAATTTAAGAATGGTCAACTCACCGTCACACTCTGCACAGCGTTTGGCTTTGGGTCCTGCGTCTCATTGGTCGATTCTGTCACGTGGTCCTTCTCCTTCTCTTCCTCTAAGTTGTTAGCCTGCACAGTACTATGGCCATTCATGCCGATAGGCATTCTGGGAAAAGGAATGTGTCCATGAACAATGAACCCAATCTTTTATTCTCCGTTAGGAAAGGAAATATATGTCAAAATTTGAATCAAAATATGAAAATGGCAAAGAAAAAGGCCTACCTGTCTGCTGCCTCTAGGTTTGTGAAATTGTCTGTAGCAAGAAAAAATACTAAGTCATATCAATGGAAAATGGGTGGTTTAAGTGCCAAATTATGGTTTCCAAAATCTATCTAGTTGCTTGATTATATTCATCTGGCAATTTTCAGGAATGAGAACGTTGACAGGGAAACAAGTGTGGAGTTTATTTTTTATGCCGTATTTTGGAACAGATTGAATTATTTGCTATACCAAATCTTAAGGTGTTTCTTTTTTTTTCAAATTCAAACGGTCGTCTCTACTCACTAATAGATCATCTGCAAGGAAAGTTCACCGCTTGTTCGTGGCCGCCGATCCGACGTCTTGCCCGTCGTCGTTGCTATGACAACAAGGATGAGGAGGACAATCAGAGCCCCGGACACTCCTCCACCAATCAGCGACCACGACACATACCTGATGGTTTGCTGTTGGGGATCTGAAGTAAATAATATCGCAAAGATTGTAATCAGATAGATCTAATAATAATTCTTTATTTGTAAAAATCATGCCAGAAGACTAATTGCTTGTACATTACTGTCTTATGCATTTTGAAGTGTGATTTTTCCTACCGTAAAAGCCAACCCGTAATGTGATTGACGTGGATTGTCTTTTGATTGGTTCAGGGCCCCAGGATGTACACGTCATCACGTCCATGTCGTCATCTTCCGTCAGCTGGACCAGCAGCTCAGACACGGAGGTGACGTCATCGCCGGTGCTGTTGTCATGGTAACTAATTACGTCATCCACCACCTTCTTACCCTTAAATAAACAAGAAGTCGGAGACTTAAAACTTTCGGGAAGTATTTTTTTTTTTTTGGCCGTTAATTCACGAAAGTTCACCTCATTTCCACATGTGGCTGACCTTTTAACTGCCTGTCAATGTGTGTCAAAAAAGCCCATGTACTTTCAACCTTTTCTGGACAAACAGACACACAAACCCACGACTCTACCACAATGGCCGTTCACGTACAATCTCGTTAGTAGAATACTTATCATGCTATTCTGGGTACGAGGTCAGACCATATACACCACACGTTAGTTGAAGTGTTATTAACTTATGAACTAACCTGCCTGTACCATGTCAGGTTAGCGGGGGGTGTACCACCGCTGCTGCTGCAGACCAGGGTCAGGTTCATCCCCGGAGGGATCATGTTACCGTCCGGGTCCACGCTGTCACCGTCCAGTCTGCCGGTTATAACCGGCGCTTCTGGCTGGGCTAGGTGGTCAGGACACAAACGTTAATTGCCTTCGTCGAGAAGGCTATGAAATTACTTTGCTATAGTGAGGGAGACAATGCGGCATAACTCTTGAAGGCGTGGTTCGATGTTCATGATTTTTGGTAGGCGGGTTACCGTTAGGAAGACCAATGTCAAGTTCAAAAATGGGCCTCGTACACAGTACACATTCAACCCTGAAAATCAAATGAAACCCAATCCCCACCCACTACACTGACAAACTCTCCCTAAGCCAGCGCCGCCCAAAACAAAACTTCCGTCCCGGAAGTGAGAACCTTACCGTAAACGTACAGGTGCACCTCCGCCACGCCCTGCCTGTTGGTGGGCGACAGTGTGACGGCACACTGGTAGTGACCCTCGTCCTCCAGTCGGGCGTTCTCGACCTGCAGGTTGATGTCGTCTGTTAGCCCCAACCGAGTGGCAAAGGGGCCCCAGGGCGCCACAAAGGTCACATCGTTCTGAAGCGCCACCTAGAGAAAAAAATGGTCAGTGCAGTACTTCTGTGTTGGCATGGCAAACGGTTACTACTGTATCTATGACGTTTAATGGTGTGACTGAGAGGGATTAAAATCACCTTTTGGAAAAAAAGTTGAAAGCCGTATAATGTAATTGCTGCCTAGTCCAAACTCAATACCAAAATGTTATTTAACTACTTTTTGGGATTCAGAAAAATAGTATCCACAGAACTAGAACAATCGCTTCTCTTGAGACTAGCTTTAACATTTTGAAACCCCTTACTTCAAAATACTTTTTTCCAAACAGCTAAACCATTTCTGTGATATTTTGTCTGACCTGTGTGATGATGTCGCTCCCTTTAGTCCATATGATGAGGGAAACATTGCCGGCTCCGCCGTTGTGGTCGCACGGGAGGACGGCCTGTCTCCCCACCAGTGTCGTCACCACACGTTCCCCGGGCGTGTCCTGCGCTTCCACGGGCGCTGTGGGAATCGAACCCGTGTTTCATACAGAGCAAAGAACTTAAGGCATTCAATACGATTTCAGAGCAGCAAAACTGGAAATATTCTGAATAAGGCAATCTTTATGATATTCACACATACTGCTTCACATTAATACTTTTGAGTCAGCATTTCATACCGTTTGGGCATTTAAAACTGCAGAAACAAGCCCCAATATGAGTCCTTAATTTTATAGGTGGTACCCTAAAAATCAACCAAAGGCCCTTCCAGTAACCATTTTCCGTCAGAATTTTCAGTATTTTTTCTCCATGAGGGTCAATATACATTGGGATAGTGTTCTTTCAACTTAGTATGTAGATAACTGACTAGAAGATTGACTTTGAAAAATCGGGTTTCCAAGCCCTATAAACTGCAGGACGACAACCGCCTACAAGGATCTAATACAGCCAGACCTTTGTACGACATATGGACGACCTTCGTACAACTATCGTGCGACAATATGTGACCGGACCTTGGTTATTTAATACCTTATATGTGTACATAATGTACCCCAATAAACATCCGCAATCGAGTCTTTCAAACATGCAAAATACAAACACTTAGCCAAAGATCTCCTCTACATACTCAACTATTTACATGATCCTTCTACTGATTTTTTTCACGCTAATATATAGACACACTGTGCTATCAAATTTACCTATCTTTTGAATAGTGATAGCGCCTATAATTGTACAAACGCAGTAATATTTCTTTTATTTTTAATCTTTTGGCTGTAAACATTTAATTCCCATCCGTAGCCCTCAAGTCCGGTATTGAAGAGGGCGCAGAGTTGCAGGCAGGCCATGTGAAGGGTCCTTGTGCTTTAGATGACTTGTTCGCAACAAACCACTTCAAATATTTCCCTCTAAAATGTCGGGGTTACATGTACAATTTTTGGGTGGGGCACAAACCAATAAAACGTATATTTTTCAGCAGTATTTCTCTTTGTTTTTCATTTTTTTCGTATCTTAAACGTTTCGTTTCTAAATTCCACGTAAATTGTGTATTCTAGATTCAAGTGTAAATCAAAACAATGTTAGATTTCAATAACAGATACTAGTATGTATAAAGCGAGTTACCCCTTAAAAGACTTCAAGGAGGGAATTGTGAAAAGAAATAATTCCAACATTAGTAAAAGTAATAATTTCTATTAACAAATATGAAATAGTGAATAATGAAATTAACATTATAATTATGCTACTTTCAGTTTACAGAATCTATATTACTAAGTACATGTACCTTTTTGAGAAAGACAAAGATTTCAACTCAAATTGAGTAAATGAAAACAGTCGCCGTTCCATTTATAATAGCTTATTTGTTATCATGATCGTAAACAATGAAGCAATTGTATAAGCAAATATTACATTTCTGTAAAATTCTAAATTCGTCATGCGCTAGCAGGCCAAATACTGAGACCAATTGAGAGCCCAACACCAATTGCGTACGCAAACACTGCGCCATTGTGGTAAACCGCAAAATCCTAGTTTACAAAGATACGAATACTACGTACCTGTTGTTAGCATACAAAGCAACAGCAAGGCCCATCTAGAAAATGGAACAAACTGCAACATGGTGAAGAAATCTATCAAATCTTCAGGACTGTGTCCACTATACCGTCACCTCACATTAGATCTGGGTGTGGTCGCTAGGGTGTGTCATATCAAGGCGGCAACATCATACAGCATGGAAAACCGGATATCCCACTGTCAACTATTTCACCAAAAAAAAGAAAGAACTCACGAAAATAACTCATAAAAAAAAAAAAACTATATGATATGTGACAGAAAAATTATGTCCAGATTGTTGGGACACAACTTTGAACAAAGCTGTGTTGGGCTAGAAGTATCACGTGACTACTTGAGCGAATCAAAGAGGCGTTTTGTTTTGAAGTACATCACCATGGCTACAAAGTTCAAAACAAATGCTTGATCTTGGGATTACGTTTAATTGGACCGGGTCAGTTTGTGTGCGTCTCTCTCACAGTTTTTTTTCTCTACATGCATGTAAGTGTGTGTGTATGCAAGTATGTACTATCTAGATCATGCATGAATAAAAAATGATCTAATTATAGGTTTGATAACTGCCTAACCTTCAATTTATTTTTTCCAATTTATATATCCAAAAATTGTTTATAAAAATTAGGACTTTAGGAGTTGAAAATAATTTGAAAGTTACGTATTAATGATCATTTTCCTTTTTTATTTTTAATTATTTTGGTTGCATGTTTTGGTCGAATTGGATAATGCTAACATTTATTTGGTTTATTTTGTAATTCTAACATTTATTTGGTTTATTTTTGTAATTCTAAATCTGTTATCTTCTAACAGATTTAGAATTACAAAAATAAACCAAATAAATGGAATGAATTTTAGCTCCTAAACTGTAGCTGACTTGAATTCACCCAGGCCAACTTAATTTGCAAGGCCCAAAGTTCTAACAAACAAAAGACGACACAAACACCTGTTATCAACAATCACTAACGACCTTCGACCTCGGGAATAGGTCAAAAGA